TGTTTTTTGTTTTTTTTTTTCCCCACCAGAAGGCTTATCTTGTTTTGGAGGTATCCTTAAACTGGGACAAAACGCAGGGATCTCACTCGAGGAGAGCAAAAGCCGGTAGGTCGCTGCGGGGGGGACCTGCGGAGAGTTGCGGGCCGGTCTGTTGTTAGCATTTGTGTTTGGGCTCTTGTTTTTCTTTCTTCTTTTGTAATAAAAAATCTATTTTGGGACACTAGACTTGCTTTCTTCAGCAAAGGAGCAGGAGGTGGGGTTCGCGTGCGAAGGCTGGTGCTTGGGGACTGAGATCTTCCTCTGTTGAAACACATTGTGCAAATACAGCATTGCTCTCGGAGATTGGGAATGTTTCGAAACAGCAGCGACTAATTTAGGATGTTAAAACGCTGAAATAGAACTGCCAACTGATATTCTTAATTCCCACTGCTTTCAGTGTTTGGAGTTGCTGGGGGATTCAGCTCCATGCAATAACACAATTCTTTAAACGGCGATCGAGTGAGCACTGACAGTATTGAAATAGCTTTAAAGATACGGCTGAAAATGGCCAGAAGTCACTTGTTTTGGCTCCTCGGCACAGCAGGAGCCCTCGAACCCTGGGAGATCCTCTTGCATGTGGCAGGGGCTGTTAAAGCTGGCCGCGAGGAAGTGAAGCAGCTGATTCCTTTCACAGTTGAGGGTTTGTAACCTTTGAAGTTACTTGAAGGTTTCAGGTGCCCTTGATGGTTTAGAAAGAGAATTACCTGGTATGTCTGTGGAAGAATGACAGAGATGCTAGTAATTTTGGAGTGTTTTTAACTGGCGGACAAAATACACAGGTTGCTTTAAATTTAATCTAAAAAGGGGGAAACTGGAGAGGTACAGCTTCTTTTCTTTTTCCTGGCAATCCTGACGTGCTGTTTCCCAGGGTAATGCAAAAGCCTTATAAATGAATGTTCCAAAATAAGGAAGACTCAGAAATTTTCCAGAGTAAATCCTCAGTAATAAGAATTGATTGCCAAATGTTATCTGTTTCCTGGGATTTTGTTTTGTCATGAGAAGTTACTTTGCTTGGAATGCATTTATCCAGGAAGTAATCCTTAATGTGCTGCACTCTTAAGCTTTGAGGCTGTGTGCAAGGAGATGAAGAGGGCTTAATTAAATGTAATCAAATATTACAGGATTCCTGATTAAAAGGTACAGAGCTTGCTTTCTGGTGACGGTGACGTACCAGACATACTATTTATTTGTACTTTAGAAAAAAAAATATTTTTCATCTTGCAAATAATTGATTTATTCCCCCCCACCCCGTTCTGTTCCTGAGTAACTAGCACCCCTTTGTTTTCTTCCCTGCCTGGTTTTAATTCCTGGTGCCGAGCTCGGTGTGTCACAGCGGGGTGAGGGAGTGCAGACTGTGCTTCTGAGTCAGTGCGAGAGCGTGTGGGCATGTGAGAATGGCTGTGCCAGTGGGAGTGCCTGGGCATGTACGGGACCGTCGGCGTCAGACGCGTAGCAGGAGGAACAGGCTGTAAGCACTCGAGTTCCTGCGCCTAAAAACCCCAGGATTAAATCCCGGCCCCTGCTGAAGTCGGTGTGACAAGTGAAGCCAGCAGTTCTCCGGCCGTGCGGCGGGCTGGATGGGTGAGATTGTGCGAGGGCAGGTGGGTGTGAATGGGATGGGGATGCCTACGTCTGCCCGTTTCTCTGGTGGGAGAAGAAACGGGTTTCACGTGTGGTGGGGACCTTCAGGGCTGTGTGTCTGTGAAGGCTTCTGTTCTCGGGGCTGTGTGTGAGGGGGGCATGGAAATGAACAATGCAATGTTAACTTTGGTGGAATATAATGAACTAAAGTGCTGTTTAATAATAAACATTATCACAGGAGGAGGGCATCAGACCACCCCCCTTTCCTGCCCCCCCTCTGGGGACTGTGTGTGCGTGCCTGAGTGTCTCTGAGATTTCATGTGTGAGAAGACGATGAGTGTGTGTTTGGGATTAATTAGCCTGAGTTTAGCTGGTTTCATGCTTTACGTGCCTAGGGGCTACCCGCAGTCACAGAGAGGGGAGGAGTTTGCTGTTGCTGGCTCAAAATCCTCTCCAGGGGTGATCTTGTTCGTGTCAACCATGAGCAATTAGAGAGATTAACTGTCTTGTTTTCCTTTCTGTCCTAGATTGATTCTTGCGAGGCTCTGGGACATTTGAAAGTGATTTGGAGAGAGCAGAATCTGTGTCTGATGGACACCGAACCAAAGCCAGCGTGTGTTGTGCAGCAGGCTCACTGCCCAGGAATGAAGTGCCCTCCTTCAGAGGACTTTCCTCCTCAGATAAGACTGTCTGAAAAGATACCACCAGTGAAGCCTTGCTTCAAGAAAAAGCAGCAAGTGCAGAAGAGACTGGACACACAAACTCTGCGGGCTTTGCGGCCAATCTTCACCAGTTTGCTGGGAGCTGGGACCTTGGATAGGGTCTTTGTGCGCCGAGGCCAAGGTGGCAGTCATAGTGATTTATGTGAATCTGCTGTGAAAAAGACTCTGGACCTCGGCACTTCTTGCCCCCAGCCAGAAAGTAACGTGACTGTGCTGATGCCAACAGCTCCAGATGTGCAGAGTCAGTTGCCAGTAGCTCGTGCTTCTTCTGGGCATCCTGAGCAGGATGTCCAAACAGGAGAGCAAGGCTTCTCACCAGAAACTGCTCCTGGAACTGCTGCTGATAATAGTAACGAATCATTCCAGGATCATCCTCTGCAGCCAGCTGCTAGTGATGGTGCAGCCTGTCCTTTGTTCCCAGACAAGATTCTGGAAAGCTACACATCTGGTTTATTCCAAGAGAATAGCTGTCCAATGCAATACAGTTTGAACCCAAGCAATAAGTTCAGTGCTGGGATATTCCAGGATAAAAGTGAAGAAGCTTCTCTTGATCTGGTGTTTGAGCTCTTGAACCAGCTGCAATATCACACCCATCAGGAAGACGGAATAGAAATCTGTGTGGATTTTCTCCAGGGCACTTGTGTTTATGGCAGTGATTGTCCCAAACATCACACGGTCTTGCCTTATCATTGGCAAGTGAGAAGGACAGCAACCCAGAGTTGGCAAAGTGTGACCAATGATTCCCAGGAGCATCTGGAAAGACTCTACTGCAACCCTGACAATGACAAGATCAAAGTGAAATATCGGTAGGTGATGGGTTTACTCTCTCCCTAGCAAAGCCAAGGCTGCTTAACTGAGCAGCGGCGCGGAAATATAACAGAATGTGCACTCTCTTTTCCTGATGTTTTGTGTACAAGTGTTCTAGAAACCCTGTGATGGTGTTACCTGAATAATATCTGACAAGTTTGCCACACAGAGAACTCTTGTGCACCTACTAAAACTGCTGTTTGTCGTCTGGAAAGTATTTTTGGAAGCTGAAGGACCTGAAGTGTGTGAAATGAGAATACTTCAGTTCTGTAGAAATTGAGGGAGTTGACAGACTGTTGTGTAACGTTGTGCTTATTCTTGACGTTCCTCATTAGTCTTTTCTCTGTAGTAGAAAAAGTGGCAGGCGGAATGAGCCTTTGACGCGATTGAAACAGGAATGAGACAGCAGTTGCTTTCTGTCGCTGTGAATCCAGATGGATTTTATGCACTCCAAGCACAGTTTTCATAATTACCTTCTAAGCAACTAAATCCAGTCGGTGCTCCGTTAAGTCCTTTGGCTGGAGATTTCATACAGTTGCTGGTATATGGTGATGTTTCAGCTAATTCACTATGAACAACCTGAGCAATACCTTCAGAAATGCTGGTTATCTAAAAATGTTACACCATTTATTAGAAGTTACTGTTTCCTCTATATGTGCTGGTGTTTGTCTGTTCATTTTATGGAATTAGGAAACAGCTTTTAAGCTTCCCTGGTTATGTTATCAATTTTGGCTTGATCCTGCACCCTGAGATCTAACCCAAAACTTCTTCAACTTTTGTAATGCAGGTTCCATTTTGAGTAGTAGTGGGGAGTGCTGATGTTCACAAGTTCATCAGATCTATATAGTCCATGTTTGCAAGAGCGCAGGGTGTAGACTGCTTTTTTTTTTTTTTTCCCCTTTTCTGGAGGAAACATGCAGTGCAAATTTCTCATATCTTATCTGCCCCACCATAATCTGTGAGCTCAGGGCAACTCACTCCAGTTACAGTCAGTTCAAAGCGACGCTTCTGTAGTTGCGTAGTAAAAACTTCGAATTGCCTTTGTCATCTGAGCCCTTGTGGATTTGTTCTCACTGCCTCTTCTTCCTTCCACTTCCTGAAAAAGTATATCCCCTTCTTCCTTAGTATTTTAATATTCATTTACTACGCTGAGAGCTTTCATTAGGCCTCAAAGACCCCACCTAAAGCTTTAAGTCAAAGTGAGTCTTTACTTTCACCTAACTGGATGTTGGATTAGGTACTAAAACTCAGGCTCCATCAGCTTGTAGATTCATCCTTTTTACTGCAGGCAATACCAGAATATAGACACCTCATACTGAAAATGAAAGTGAAGTAGGTAATGAGAATTATATGTAATAGGGAATAATCATATTTTATAGAATTGTCTTGAAAAAATGTGCCAGTCTGTTTAAAAAAAAAAAGGTAAAAAAAAATCTTGCAACTGCACAGCTGATAAAATTTGCTGTACTTTAACAACAGAGAAACTTCCATTTTTTTTCCAAGTATTGTAAATGATTTCTGAAAACAAAACAGCAAATGCGGAAGTAAGACAAGCCCATGCAAGTAATTTAAACTTGAGCTCTGTGCAAGCGAGCAAAAAGTTTTCTTTTTGAAGCCTGTATCACAGAATCCATCGCTGCACACATGATCTACGTGCTCTAAATGATGGAGTTAAGAATGATTAATTTTAAAGGAAACAATGCTTCATAATTGCTTAGTCATCTCCAGCCTGTAAAATCAGCTGAATAGTGTTGTCTGCCGTTACACTTAGTGTGCAGGTTTCCAGTCTGGTGGGTATTTTGGTCTCTTGGTACACAGTTTCTGTCTGTCTGAACCCCTCGGGAAGAAACTTAGGGGGTGTGTTGGCAGCCACACGCCGTTCGGTGACCGTGAGCGGAGGCAGAGGAGCAGCGTGATCTGGGAAAGCCCAGGTGTGCTGGGTCAGAGCTCTGCCGTGAAACTCTGCGGTCGAGGCGGAGGCATGTTCTTTGAATACAACCTAGACTTCATCTGGTTGAGTCAAACTGGCTACCAGTGAGTGTCTGCCTGTTTTCTTCAGGTAAAAGTAGTCATAGAATCATGGAATGGTTAGGGTGGGAAGGGACCTCAAAGATCATCCAGTTCCAACCCCCCTGCCATGGGCAGGGACACCTTCCACTACACCAGCTTGCCCAAAGCCTCATCCAGCCTGGCCTTGAACACTTCCAGGGATGGGGCATCCACAACTTCTCTGGGCAACCTGTTCCAGTGCCTCACCACCCTCAATGTAAAGAATTTCTTTCTTGTATCTAACCTAAATCTGCCCTCTTTCAGTTTAAATCCGTTGCCCCTTGACCTACAGATTTAGTCTACTGAGACAAAAATTATTTTAAACGTTAGTATTTTCTAACTAAATTCTGTTTTCGGCTGCTAATTCTGTAGCCTGTGCTCTCCTTCCTTCTCTTAAAAGATACGGAGCCCATTGCTTCAGTCAGTGCTATAAAGTCATGCCCCGATGGAAGGTTGAATGACAGTTGTAGATTTATAATATCAGCTTACCATGGAATGACAAATTGGCAGTTTCTGTAACTCTTGTAGTATTTCATCCCTTGGAAGAGCTTCGTGTTTGTGGATAAGTATCAGTGAGAACCCAGGAGTGGAACTTTTTTTAAGACTAGAGCTTCTGATTCCAAACATTGAATCTGATATGCCTTAAAACTTGGACTTAACAGGGTTTTAGGCTAGATTTTGAAGTGGGGGGTAAATGTTTTACCACGTATCGTCACCAGCTTCTTCTTACGCAACATCATCTTGTATCAGAAGAGCCTGCTAAACCTTTAGACGTGGGCTGTTTGGACTCGCTGTGACTCTTGCTGGAGTTCACTGGTGGTCACTGCAACCTGGCTTCCCTTCTGTTCCTGGGCGATGTTGTGTCTCCTGGCAACAAGATGCAGATAGCAGCGTGTTGAACCTTGCTGAGAGGCTCGCAAACATGCTAGAACAGCTCGTCGTTCACATGGTTACCGCATTATTTGGCTAAAGCTATTAATCTCTTGTGGTCAGACTAGCTTTACAGGCCTATCTATACAGATTGCATACAACAAGGAAATGTCTGTTCAGCAGTTTGCATGTCCAAGAAAGGCCGTGCAGAAGCCAGCCTGACAACCAGTGGGTGGTAGTTGTTTATTCTCCTTTGTTTTAAGCGCAGTTTGCATGGCATAGTAAGGAATGGTTGCAGTCTGCATGCATAATATTGCTGTTGTGCACCGCTCCAAGAAAGTTGGCCTGCTCAGGAAAGTGTTGGGCTATTGGCTTAGTTAGAGAAGAAGTTCTAAATTCAAACATGATGTTCTTCAGTTAGCTATTTATGTAAATCTTTCTTCATCTTAATGTTATCGAGATGAGTAATGTGAAATATACGTTAAGTTGTTGCCTTTCACCTAAGGGAACGTGATGTTAAATTAGGAGAAGTGGTAAACCTCGTTTAGTTACTTCTTTGTAATACAACTGCCTCAGATACTTGTTGCAGTCTGGCCTCGAACCAAATATAAAACTTTATCATAAATTGTTTTTATTTTTGCTTTCTTAAGTCTATCAAGTATTTAGAGCCAAATACCAAGCTGTCTAAACAAATATATAAGTATGAACTTCAGCAGGTTAAAATACTTAGAAGCACTCGGTTTTCTTCGTACATGTGAGGAGAGGCCCTGGAGAAGTTCCAACTTGCAGCTAAGTATTGGAGAGAACAAGGCCAAGTACTGCTTGCCAGCATGAGAGTACCCAAACTGGATATTTTAAGGTGTTCTTTAGTAAGGAGAGATACTTGGCTGCAAAATGGAGCAGGTTTTCCCCCCCACACACACCTGTCCAATCATGCAGTCGTTACTTTTCAAAATAAACAGGACCATTACTGATTACACGAGGATTTGTTTAAAACAACTCCACAGTTCCTGACCCATCGGTTTCCCCCTCTTTGGCTGAAAATTCCACCCCTTCTCTTGGCGAGTTCCTGACCCATCAGTTTCCCCCTTTGGCTGAAAATTCCACCCCTTCTCTTGGCAAAGAGACATCCTTGTGTGCCAGGGGAACTGCAGCGTGTAGTCCAGCGTATCCCAACTCACATGAAACAGCTTCTTGTAGTTGCTTTGATTTGGGGGATGTGTGTGTGTGTTTGGTGGGTTTTTTTCTTTTTTGTAATTTCTGTAAATTTTCTGAAATGGCTTCTTCTAGCTAGAAGAGAAAGGCCAAAATGAAATGGCTTTAGTCAGGGAAAAGCAGGTGCACCTCCGATGGTGCACGTTCTGCCTGGGAGCAGTTGACTAATTACTCGGTCTACATGCATGGTTCTTGGATGAAGTCAGAGTAAATATTGTGTGTTTCCCAGTGGAGTTATTGGTGGGCATATGGAGGGACCTGGAGGGAAGGGTAAGGACAAAAATAAGTGTCCAGGAAGCTAGTTTTCCTTTGTTCATGTGTTCGTGAGAACTTGTTTCTCTGATGCTGTTAGAATATGCTTACATGATTTTAAAATCCTGTAGAGCACATTGGAAGTGTTTCAGTTGTTCAGGGAGCCCTGCAGGTCCTCTGACCAACTGAAGAGTTAAATTTAGGAAGTTTTCTTTCTGATCTGCACAGCTGCCACAGCGTGGGAGATAACTCATGTGTTGTTGATAACACCGGAGATGAGAAAACAGCTGAAATTCACTGTGCCTGGTGATTTTTGTGTGTAGTGTTTCTTGAATATATACAGCTGAATGGGTTTGAACTTCTTTTAATTCCTTGTTGAAGGAATGCGAGACAGAGACTAAATAAAAAGCATGTGAAGTGATTTTTGCAAGTGTTTCCCTTGTGCTTTATAATAGTACGCTTCAATGAGTTTCTATTTGCTCCACTTTATAGGGTCATTTACATATGAAATAAAACTAATTGGCTTCTAGCTGTACAAATCTAGGGAAGTTAGGAGTGTTGTGTTGAGCTGCCCTAGGAATCAGCAATCACTCATCCATCCCTTTTCTTGTTTCACATCAATAAACAGATTTCAGTTTTGGAAACAGCTGTCACCTGGCTTCAGGTTGAGGTCAGTCTGTTCCCTGTGTACTTAGGGTAACAAAACGGTCCTTTCTGAAACCAGGATTTCTAACTGGTGAAACAGATTGCTGGGAAGAGTTGCTGACAGGTAATCCAGCAGGCACAGCCTTGTCGCTCTGCCGGCCCGTTTCGGAAAGGATGAGGAACAGAGAGAGTCTGTTACAATTATTTGCGTAGCAAGTGCAGCAATTGTCAAGTTCCTTCCTAGCTGGGACACGTGCTTGTTGAAATCAGGAGGGGTTGGAGCTGAGTAATAATCGCGGAATTTGAGACTCGTAGTCAAATGTATAAAGGAGTCCTTTCTTGGGAGGCTGATGCAGAGGGTGTGACATGAAACATCAGGTGGAACGTTCAGAAACGTCTGGAACTGGTGGTCACTAGTGAGTGCTAGCCTTGTGTGTGACCATCTTATGTAAACCATTGGTGAAATGGGTGCAGTTTCATTATTTATCATAAATCTCAGAGGTATTTTAAGTCCTGAGATTTGATAAGATTCTTAAAAAAAAAAAAAAAAAGGCAGGCATGTGATCTGATCTAGGTGGTCCTGCTCAGGCAGGGGGATTGGACTAGATGATCCTTTGAGGTCCCTTCCAATCCCTGACATTCTGTGATTTTTTTGTCTGTGCAGAACATTTTTTAGAAATGGGACTTTAGGCTCCATCTGAGTGCTTTAGAAGTGTTGGTATTGCAGCTTTGCAAAAGCAAACATCTCTCTCGTGACACGAAAACCCTGTCCAATATCAGCCCGCTTGCCACCCAGAGCTGTGCTTGTGCTGTCTCTAGAACGTCTACTGGTATAAAAATGAAAACTGACAAACAAAACTGCAAAACATGTCCTCATCTGGTGTGGTAGGAGACCTCTGAAACAACAGTCTACCTCAGACAGGGACATCCCTGTTTATCCTCTACTGCAAATAGAAGATGCAACTTGGATTTGAATGATGAGATATCGTGCATTCCATAATTCTTGGAAGATCTGAATGTGTTTGGCATCCTCATTGCTACAGATTTTGAGAACGTAACAGTAGTTCACACCAAAAGACCATTTAACGCCGTACCTCGTGTGCAAAAGTGGCCAACGGTGGCTTTCTTGGGAAGAGCAGAACAGAACAAACATACTTCTCAGTACAGTCTCTCACCTTCCAGCAGTCATGTCTCAATGACTTCCTGATCCAGAGATGGTATCTGTGTGAGTGAGAACAATTGATAGGTTATTTCCCACCCCCTGCCAAAAAAAGGTCTGGGTCCAGCCTTTCATCAGAGCTCTATATGCGTCTGGACCGGTGTCCCAGCAGATGTTTCAGATTTACAAACGTACAATTCCCTGATGATGGAGCCTTTTAAGTGCAGAGGTGAATCTTTCTGTAGCACCGTCGTCCTTTCTGAGTCGTTCTCACCGCTCACCTCCCGCACGGCTGACAGTCGCAGCAGAGAGAAGCAGCAAATTAAGTAAAACATGAAACTAATTTCCTGCCCTGTCACTTGCCGCCCCTTTCTTCAGTTCAAGAATGATGAGATGGTGATAAGATCAAGGCTGTGGGATCGTGTTTACCAGCTTGTTTTCGTCCTTGCCCTGGTGCAAAGTATTGCTTCTGCGAGGGAAGGTTCCTGTTTTCCTTTCACGCTCGTTAGAGCAGTAACTGGGATTTGGCTGCGGTTTCGTCGCTGTGTTGTGGGGAGCTGTTTGGAGAACGGCCCTTGGCGAGCATCACCTGCACCCTTGCCTCCTGTTACCTCCTGTGGAAGCGGTGTTGGTTTCGATGGCAGCAAATTTTGGCTGCTGTTGTCTCAGAGTTGATGTTCCTGTTTCGAACTGTCGGTACCTCTGCTTAAAAGGAAATGTCTTACTGAGAGGATGTGCTTGAAGTGAAGTTCACTTTTGTACGGTGGAGTTTAAACATTTGGTCCCTCACCCAAAGCTGGACTACAGCCTTCAAGCAGCTGTTCGCTACAAATAAGATGAAATATTGCCAGTTTGGGGTCACAGAAAGTGTAAATGCCTGCTTTACATCTCCTACAGTTGCCAAGTTGGATCTGACTAATCTTTCAACCTTGGGTACAAAAGGTTTTCATACCTGTTGAGATCTTTTAAGCTCGTTTGTTCCCCTGAGTGGCTTTCAGGTTGTCGCTATTGCGGAGAGGAACTGGTTTAGTCATAGAGAGAAAATCAACAGTTTCATCATCTAAGTGGTGTTTAACTCTCAGTCCTGCTTCGTATCACAGCTGTTCTGATGGGAACTGAGTTTCATTTCCTGTACAGACCTTTGTTGATCGCTGGGTTTCTTTTTTTTTTTTCTGAACCCTGTTTGCGGTGAGGCTCATGACATGTAACTGAACCTAGGAGAAGAGTTCGAAACCACGTGCGTTTTCGTAGCACTTACAAAATATTTCTCCTAGTAATCTATTTGTACATAACATCTAGCCAACGTTTGTCTTACTGAATGGAGAGAGCACAGAAGATTCACACGTTAAAGCGAAGTTCTTCGGAAGAATGCAAGGAGTGAGCCCAAATATCCTGACTTTAGCAGGCAACGTTCATCTGAAAAGACTTCTCCCTAGTCAAGGGACCTCCTGAGTTGGGTGTCCTCAGAGATTGTGTCTTTCTGTTATTTTTTTTTATGGTTAGGGTATGGAGAAAATATAACTTCCACAGGGAACCAGGTTCTGCTATTGAGAGCATTTGTGGAATTTTATTTTGAACCGCGCTGTTGCACAGCACCAAATTTGGGGTTGTGTGCCGTATTCTCAAGAGAGTTCAATATGCTTATTCTTTCAGTGCAAATAATTCTATTGAATTGCTTTATTTTATAAATAGAGACCTCTATTTGGTTAGTCGGTGAAGAGAAGTTCTTAAGAAATTTCTGTTCCCACCTCTGTTGCAGGTTCTCTGTGGGTCTTTGATGAAGATATTTTAGTCTTTCTCTGCATCTGTCTTTCCTCTGAAAAAACAGGGATAGTAATTCTCTACCTCAGAAGCAAGATGAGGCCAAGTTTTGCGGTGTTTGCAGAGAGGTTTGTTAATTTTTCTGTAGAAAAAGACAGTGTTGTTTTTATTACTGGTTTCAAGCTGTACTGAAGGCAGTTCCTGCTGCGTGATGCAGAGGCAGTGGGAGTAGCACTGTGCCCCACCAAGGTATTTGAATACATTTCCTGCTTTCCCAAACGCCTGGCAAGCTGTAGCCTTCATCAGCTCCTTCCCACTCTTCTCCAGACTGATGTTTCCAGATAGAGACTTCAAAGTCCACGAGTAATAACACTAAATTTATTTTTTTTTAATCACGTTAGCTACAAAACTCTCCTTAACGCAAACTGCCCAAGAAAAGTATAAAGAGCGATGGATCTCCTTCATGGAGCCCTTCTTTTGGAGATGGTGCAGAAGAAGTTTTGGGATGGGTCTGTTTCACCTGGGAACAGGATTTTAATTGCTGCTTTTGTGTGTATTTATTCTGCCTCCATCATCATCATAGCACCGAGTGTTTCATCGCTGTTGAATGCGAGCATCTCCCGGAGGTGCAGTTGGCTGTGCAGTCACGTGCCCGTGATGTGTTACGTGTTCTCTTGTGCTCCCTCCAGGGCACAAAACAAGGTGATGTGTGCCTTGCTGCTTTATTGTTGTTTTTTCTCTCTGCTAATCTATAGTTATCCATAATCTATACGTTATGGAGGATACCCTTTGCTTTAGATAGTGTATGCTGTACCTTGAATTACTAAATCATTCTACTGCGCGAAGATAAAGTGATGTTATGCCAAAGAACATAGCAGACATAACCTTGAGCATCTCGCATTCTTACTGTCCTTGAACCCTAAATTTGGGGTCTTTCGCCTGGATTGAGGCCTCAGGCAGTTGAGAGGTACAGTTGTCGCATTTGCTTTCATCAATGGTGTCTTAAAGCTGAAGCCAGGAATGGAATCA